ACACTTTTTTGATCAGCAATAATTTTGTTAATTTACTAGTTAGCATCAGAGAGAAGTAAATTAAAAATAATATAAATATTTGTCTACATGGAAATGCTGAAATACTACCCTTAAATACGATGGATTAGTCATAAAATCGAATCATAAAAAAAAAAGTGAGTGGCACAACCGTCCACAACCCCTGGTCGTTTGTGACAGACATCAACATAGGTTAAAAAAACAATAGGTATAAACACTTTGATTTATAACGACTTTTATTGCCATAAATATATAATACACACAACATAATCATTTAAACAAAGCTTGTGAGTATAATATAAAAATACAATTTTTTCAAAGTTAACAAAAAATCTTTGTGCAATCTTTTTGTTTCTTATATTGATTTTTCCTTTTTTTTCTCTTCGTATTTTTGTCTTACTAAAGTTATAATTTCCTTACATATACATGTCACAAAATACAAAACACATTACTGGTAATTAACTTCTAATGTTTAACTTACAGTAAAATAACAAACAAAGGGATCTATTTGTATACAAGTAACAGTTATTAGAAAACTAAAATCGAACAAAAATATTTTTTCTAAATGCACTTTACTTTTTGAAAGCGATCTACAGATCATGTTAATGTAGGGGGCTGACTTCATAAAATAATGGAACCTTGTTCGAAAAAACATACTTCATCTTTTTCTCTTTGAGCCTATCTCAAAATCAGTATAGTTTACCTGTTATGGCGACTGTCACTACCGTACCCTAGCATAACCGTGCCCAGTCTCTTCTACTATAGCATAGCATTTTAACTTGTTTCCCATTAATCAATTGCTTCGGTTAAATAGATCCAATCAATTCTAAATAAACTATTCTAAATAAAGCCAATTTAATACTGATTTCCGTTTATCATAATTTTTAAAATAAATAAAGTGATCATAAAGTGTAAAGTCTTAGATATATTAAAGATTTATAAGAAAACATTAGTAAAATCTATTTACTAAGCATTATTATGATAAATATAAAATATTAAATATAGATATTAAGTCGTGACATTAGAAAATATATAGGCGAGTAAGATTGCATATTTATGAAAACACAGAATGAATCAGAAACAAATTCAAAATTAATTATTTCAGTTAAAAGTTTCAAATAGTTTGTAAGAAAGACGTACTTGTGAAGGTAAATTAAAATCATGAGACTTTGTTAATTGTCTAAATAGACTGTGATGAATATACGAATTAATATTCCTTTCTGTAAATCAGGTAATAATTACAATGAATAATTCATTTCAATCAAGTATAAAGTAAACATCAAATTCTTCATATAATTTAATGTTTATTTTATATCTGTTTTCAGGTTTGCGTTGTTAAATAACTGAAAAGGTATGTATTGTTAGCACAAACAAGTGAACTGTCTGAATAAAACGAATTGGTGCGCACCAATAAACATTTTGGCGACCCACAAAATTAATTTAATGATTGATTAACTTGTATTATAATATACCTACATGTGTGTATATATACACGTGATGATAAGATATATGTATATATTTGTATGTGGTTTTTTGGATAAGATTTTGAGGATTTTTTAATTTTAATTAAAATTAATATTCAAGTTTTTGGGGTGTGTGTTTGTATATTTAAACTTTTGTATTCATCGTGCCAAATTTATCTCTAAATTATCCAAACATTACCCGATTTTAATACACACTTGCATAAATATAAAGAAAATAATAATAAAAAATGGTAGTATGCCCGAAGGCAGGTCCATGGTGTGAGAGGCACCACAAATAAACTTCATTTTCTAATACATTTTTTATGTATTTTTCTTTCCAAACTTCTGATTTATGCTTCCTGTCCTTGTACTTGCATTTTCCTGTTTTTCCTCATCTCGCGTAAGTCACCAAACATCTGCATCTTCTTCTTTCTATTCCTTTCAGTCTTTCTATTTTATCTTAGACTATATCATGTAGAAGAAATAGTTTTTTGCAGAATGGGTTCGATCCAGTTTCCTTTTCTCTTCAGTACAGCTATTTTATCGCCCACTCTTCTCAGGACTTCTTCATTTGTCTTTACCCTTATCTTCTTCATTCGCCTTCAACACCACCACTTCAGATATTTCTTATCGGTCTTTCTTAGATTCCATGTCTCTGATCCATACAGAGCTATGCGCCACACGTAAATATACATGCGTGTATATATATTGAAGATCAATTTTTTGATCGTGGGGACACTTTGTAATTTTGATTCTATGAGTCATTTTAAGAAACTTTTTGAAGAAACCATATTTCAGAGAGAGATTACGAACCAGCGAAATTTTCAATAAATTTTTGGAATTGAATTTGGAGCTGTCAAAATTTTCAATAAAGTTTTTTTATGACTTTGGGAATTTGATGAAACTTTGCATGGTTATGATCTATAACCAGGTACGTTGGTATTTGGTACCATACTATCCATATCCATGGAGTTGATAGTAGACAGTAAGAGTTAGGGGTCGCCTTATCCACAGGACTATCCTAATTATTTTTTAAACCTTTAATTGATTTTCATAATCTAAACACTACTCATAGACCATTTATATTTCAAGGGGTTATTCTCTATAACTATGCGAAGTTTATCAAATCCATTGACAAGTCAAGTTTGCTCTAGTAGAAGTATGATTTGCTTGTAAGTTGGAATTTAAATATATGGAGAAGAAATTATGTTGAAAATTTCGCTAGCTCGAAATTCACTTCCGAGCTATGAATTTTTTGGAAAAGTTTTTGTAAATAACAGATGAAACAAGAATCTTGTTGTGCAATTAGTGTATAATTTATGTATGTTTGTGATTTAGATCAAATGTATGTATATATAGTCTCTCGATTTAGCTTGTGCACAAATTGACAACAGGTAAGTATAATAAGTAAAATGTATTAGAAAAAAAGCATGATTTTTATGAAAATAATAGTATAATATGTATATATATTATATATATATATATAATATATATATATATATATATACCGGTGCATACAGAAACATATACACATGATTTTTTACTTAGATATAAATATCCTGAATGACTAATTATACTACTCTATATACTACTTTTTAAAGTAATTGAACGTTTAATATTATATTGCTACATCCAATATTATTTTAGACACTATTCGTTTAATTACAATTTTTTGTATATATATATATATATATATATATATATATATTTATATATATATATATATAATATAATATAATATAATTTTGAATCTGACTTCGACATATATATTAACGGAACCTAGAAATTGGGCGTAACATCAATAAAAACTTTTTTTTAAAAAAAAAATTACTCTAAAATTCATACGTTTCGGATATAGACTCACCCTTCATTCAGGTGAAAAATAAATAAGACTATATTGTTCATAATAATTGTTAATAAGTAAAAAGTCTTTACAGTTTGTAGTATTCAAAATATATCTAACACTTATCTGTTGTATGAGGATATAATATATAACACTGCACTAAGTAATAAAAAAATTAGGAAATGTTTAAGTATTATATAAATGCATATCATAATTAAACTAAAATTACAATTTTAGCACATTGTAATTGATTTATAATGGTAACAGTATTTTAAAGAATATGTTTCAACTTGGTTACGACATGTGGGAAACTGATTCTGGCGAATTTTTTTACTTGTGCATTTATTACTTGATGAAATTCGATTTTCATGAATTTTATTGATGGTACGTGGTACGTCTGATTATTAGATTCTGCTAATATATATAAATATTTCAAAAAATCTTTGAAATACAGATATTACTAATAGTCCAGTCATTTAAGCTTAAATTAGGTAAGAATCTCGGAATTCTAGATACCCAGCTGTAAGTCTGTAAATACTTGTATATTGACGCCTAAAAGTTGTCTCAAAACTTACATATTGTAGGGTGTACGCAACATATGTAGGTTTTGAGACAACTTTAGACTCTCAATATACAAGTATTTACAGACTTACAGTTGGGTATCTCGATTCCGAGGTGAACTTACTATAATGACTGGACTATAATGTTTTAATTAACTCTGAAAACCTGGCTCGTCAATATACACCTTTTCCATAAACGACATAGTGTCTAAAATTATTGTTTCATGTAGCAACTTCAATCACTTTAATATAATACTGGAATTAGCTGACACTAAAATAATTTTGTGTCTTTGTTACACAGAATTGTTAGTTCAGTAATAAATATATAATTTAATAAACCTTAATCATAAATGTTTTAAAATTAATTTAATCCCAATTCAAACTGATTTGATCCCAAATCTAATTAAGTATTAAAGCAATTACTATACTTGTAAGTTTTTAATTTTATTTATTTGTGCATGTATAGAAATAAATAAATAATGTTTCAATTTACGACTATGTATAACTCGTATAAATCTATGAGATTATTTTGATTTATTCAACTTGATTAATTTATTTAGCATGTGATATGAACGTACACAAACGATGCGAGGAGTCGGTTCCAAATCTATGTGGCTGCGATCACACTGAACGACGTGGGAGGATACAATTGACAATCACTTGTATAGCCAACAAACTCACAGTTGAAGGTATTTTGATAGATATTTCATATAAATTAGTGAGTGCCAACTCGAATCAAGTGATTCGAATCAAACCCTTATCAACCTGTTTCGAATCACATTTAGTTAATTCGGATAAACCTGTATCAAGCCGAGAAATATTTACTGTGATATGATAAGTAGTATAAATTATTTTTTATGAACATAAATTTTAATGTGCGTAAAAAGTAATTTTAACTAGTTGGGATTGGTGTTTTGCCTTGTGGCAAGTTATTATACCTAATTGAAAACGAACGAATACCTTAATTTAGAGTATTTTCTAAAAGCAAATTTTCAAAAATCAACTTAAGACCAAGTACTCTATCATTAACTATACCAAATAAATCGTCTAATTCAAAAAAAAACTACTCTTGATGAATTTTTAAAATTAAACTACATACTTGTCGTAAGGCCGTAATCTTACAGTAAGTTCTATAAGACCATGATATATATCGTCAAAAAAAGTTCCATAAAAATCGACTTAATTTTTTTTTCAACAACGAATTACAAGAAAACGTCTCAGTAGATTTTCACCTAAAACTAATCAATATCATTCCCAACTAATATATTTCGAACAGTTTTTGATTTTTTAAAATCGATTCGGTAGTATGAGCCTAAATGTGGACGAAAAGGTTAACACTTTTTCCAAATTACAAAGAAACGGCTTGGCGCACAAAACTGACAAACGATAGTCCTCATTGAGATACAGTATATACTAAAAACATTTATTATTGCCTTATTATAATACTATTAATAAAAACTTGATATTTTTAAATAAATATTGTTTACAGAAAATCGGAAGATTCAACGTGCATTATTCAGAATCGCGGAAAATAATGTATTTTCAAAGAATTTTTTTTTGTTCTCATTTGTATTTCATATTATTTATGACTATATTTTTGTGAACTCAAATCCTCTGTTTTTCATTTTTTATTTAATTATTCATGTGTAATTAATTGTACAGGATACGACGTCTACTTCTTCAGGGGACACATTTTCAAACAAACAAAAATTACAGATTTATACACGTTATTATTTAAAAATTAAATAGTTAAAAACGGTACATATAGAATAAAAAAATTATTATGAATTAATGCATATAGAAGTTGTTTGATTTATCAGTTCTTCTAAAGAAGTCACTATATCCCTGAATAGTAGAATCAAACACAGCTGAAAAATTATAAATTATCTTTTACTTTCAAGCCTTTAAATTCAGAAAAATATAGTTATAAATGTATATATATATATATATATATATATATATATATATATAATGTATGTCCTGCTCCTATTCGAGTATTGATTCACTTGTTTCGGGTTATTGTAGGTATATTATTTATGACAAAACCGCAATCCCAATTTAATAAACCACAATCAGATTATCGTAAATTTCAGAACTCTAATATCAGAGAAATTTCCGTAAAGCTTTTCGTAAGTCAATTCATTACTATCTCGAAGTTGTGCTTTGGAATAAAACCATAATCCTTTTTAACAATTTGGATTCTATGTACATGATAAATAGTTTCAAACTAACAATTTTCATTTCAAAATAAGATTTCATTTCAAATAAGAGAATAAATCAAATATAATAAAACGAAGGAAGATATTAAATAGTATGAAATAGAAAATATAATAAAATATTAAAAAAATTTATTTTTGAATAATTTATTCCTTACTAGTTCGGCAAGGAAGAAATTTAATACCAATGGACCCTAATGGATTGTCTGACCCTTATGTGAAACTTAAACTGATACCAGATTCGGATAATGTTAAGAAGAAAACTAAAACTATAAGGTCTAGTCTCAATCCAGTTTGGAATGAAACACTTGTATTGTGAGTATTGACATTAATTTTTGCAAAAATGTATGGTTATCTAGAGTATATGGATCAAATTTGTGATATGTAATATTAGTAGGTACAGAGTTCCTGAAAATATATTATCAGATGCATAGAAAGCTTAATTTAATTATTTTCAATTCAAGATTATCCAAAAATTCAATTGACTCTATGCAGCTGTTTTTAGACTTTTAATGTCCAATGTCCTTCTAAATATGAAAAGTAGAACTAGTTTGCAAAGTAATTTTTATGTATTTTATCTGGGCAAATCGGTGACATGTAATTTTTTTTAATTGAATCATGAGTTCAGTCATAGTTAAAATATACTTTAACCTACAGTCCAGGCGTTTAAAACGAAACCACTGTCCAAACAGTCTAATAAATTGCTAAAAATTCATTGTTTTTTTAAACATTTATTGCATGTGCATCAAATATATTCTATTTGTTTTTTTTATTAGTGAACTGAAACCATCCGACAAAGACCGAAGGCTTTTGATAGAAGTTTGGGATTGGGACAGAACATCCAGGAACGATTTTATGGGATCGCTTTCCTTTGGTATATCCGAAATTATAAAATCACCAGCAGAAGGTTGGTACAAGCTGCTGACTCAGGAAGAAGGTGAATTCTACAATGTGCCAGTACCGGAGGAGGGAACTGATTTGGCGCAACTTAAGACGCAGATGAGGGTATGTTGTGGAAATAATAGAGCATTGGATATAATACAGCATACCAATATCAGCTTTTTGTTTTGTCAAATCTCCCAAGTAGATCTGGGTTTTATACAATTAAAATTTTCTTCTTCATTTCAACTCAAGGTGAGGAGCACAGATATAATTTGATTTCTTTACTTTGTTTCTTGTTTGCCAAGCTATTTTTATTGTTTATATTATCTTTTTAAATATTGTATTAGCTTATTTTAATTGTATATTTTAGAAAACATCTATTACCAAAAGGCCAACATTACCAGCTGATAAAGATGTTCCACATAATATGAGTAAAAAAGATGTGATACGAGCCACAGATTTTAATTTCCTCATGGTTTTAGGAAAGGGATCTTTTGGAAAGGTCAGTTTTAGAAATAAATAAATTAAATCAATTTTTCCATGAAAGTGTTGTGAAAGAATTGTTTTAAGCCCTTTCCATAAAATTTATATTATATTTTATTTTAATTTGTATATATTTATTCCAGGTTTTATTAGCAGAGAGGAAAGGTACAGATGAACTATATGCAATCAAAATTCTGAAGAAAGATATAATAATCCAAGATGACGATGTCGAATGTACTATGGTTGAAAAACGCGTTTTAGCGTTATCATCTAAACCACCATTCTTAGTCCAATTACATTCTTGTTTCCAAACCATGGTGAGTTTGAAATAAATTATTTAAGCCAATATGGAGCATTTGTAGAAAATATTATTTTCTTTCAAAGGATCGATTATATTTCGTTATGGAGTATGTAAATGGAGGAGATTTAATGTTTCAAATTCAGCAGTGCGGGAAATTCAAAGAACCGGTGGCAGTGTAAGTGAAAACTTTACTTTTTATAGGCTCTACGTATACGTATTTATAAATATATATAATACTTTGTCAATAACCCTTAACCTACAATTTTGAACCTGGGGCAAAGCCTGAATATTTAATTTTTTATTGGCTATTTGTATCGCTAAATCAAGTGCTTTTGATATGTCCTGTAATTTTGACTTTGTTTTGTTAGATTTGTTATTTTTCGTATTACAATAAATGTTATTATTTTTTATTTAATAGGTTTTATGCTTCAGAAATTGCCATAGGCCTATTTTACTTGCACGCACGAGGAATAGTATACAGAGATTTAAAGCTGGATAATGTATTGTTGGATCAAGATGGTCACATCAAAATTGCAGATTTTGGAATGTGTAAAGAGGGCATCACAGGAGACAAAACTACAAAGACTTTTTGCGGAACACCAGATTATATAGCACCAGAGGTAAATTGATACTTGAATTGTTATTTTCTGTGCAAAATGCATTAAATAGTAGTATTTTTTTTTAATTTTTACCTCGTATTCCCGAACTTTCTATAAATAACCCTGTGCGGAGATAATAATATAATATATTTATTAATAATTTAAAAAAAAAATATTTTCGTCACTGATCTAATTTTGATAACGTCGAGAAAACATGGAATTTCTCCATAGGAAGGAGACAAATTAGTTTACAATTTACATTCTTTGTCTCAAGAATTCTATTTGACCTCACGCCGCGCTGTATTGCCTTTGACTTTTGGATCACAATTTTACTTTAGTTCAATCCACAAAAGGGTGAAGCTATCTTGTTTACAAAGAGCCGTAAGTCCACTACATTGACTTGGAAAAATTAAAAGTAATAGGCCACGAAGCTGAATGGCCCAAGGATGTCAATTACCTTGGTGTGACCTTGGACCATAGACTCAGCTTCACGAAACATACCAACATAAAAATTGGGCAGGCTTACGGGATGATAAATTCACTGAGAATTCTTTTGAACCACAACAGCCCGCTAAGCGTGAAGAACAAGCGGACACTATACTTATAAGACTGTTACTGTTATACGCCGCTCCAGTATGGAATGTGACAACTAAGACCAACCGACAGAGACTACAGATAGTACAAAAAAGGGCTTATTCAAACAAATTAAAAAGCTCACTGAACGTTTTTACCAGAAATGTAGGGATCACCACAAAATTACCATCCGAGCCCTAGGATATACACCAGAAATGGTTTGGTATGGCAAACATGCCGTGGCAAATTATTGCCTGATCGATCCCTAACAGCAATTTTTATGCATACTCCTTTCACAATTATTGAAATGTGGTATTTTTTGGGAAATTGTAAACTTTTCTCCTTTTTTGCGCAAATATTATCTATGTTGTTATTTACTTGGGTAATATATTATTTAGATATGGGATTTATTCTTCAAATAAATTAATTTTTTAACCCCTTAGCCTTTCAGGGAGTAATAATACTATTGCGAATATTTTATCAGACACCAAATATGCACACCACGTTCTCAATGAATATCATTATCTTTCACCTATTTGAATAGAATTATTGAAATGATTTCCCAATATATTCTGCTGCAACTTGCTTGATATAATCACAATATTTGATGCACATTACTCATATGACTCACGTTTTTAACATTCGACAGATAATTCTGTATCAGCCGTACGGTCGATCGGTCGATTGGTGGGCCTATGGAGTATTGCTCTACGAAATGTTGGTCGGTCAACCACCTTTCGATGGCGAGGACGAAGAAGAACTTTTCGCCGCAATCACGGACCATAATGTTAGTTATCCGAAAAGTTTATCCAAAGAGGCTAAAGAAGTCTGCAAAGGGGTAAGTCATACAATTATTCTTTTGATAAACAGCAACGATGAAAGATGAAACTTTCAAATAACCAGTATATTTACTAATAGAAGAAAATTAGTGGTAATAGAGCAAATAGAGTGGATGGATCACTCATTGGCTAGATAACAATTTTTTGCGGAATTCTGTTAGTAGGCACTTACTACTCCTGCCCCCTTAAAGATTGCACAATTATTTTAAACCTTTTGTAGCCCGTCCAAAATCGATTTAGGTCAACCACCATACATATTGTAGATCTCGCCAACATTTTACTTTAATAAGATAGAACTTTTGTTCTAACTTGGGTATTTTTAGAGATGCATAATCATTCACATTCGTGAATATATTCAAAGTTTTGTCCAATTTAACTTATCTATTTTTCCTCTTTTTACCAGTTGTTAACAAAGAATCCACTTAAACGGTTGGGTTGCGGAGTTAGAGGTGAAGAAGATGTCAGAGGTCACGCTTTCTTCAGGAGGATAGATTGGGACAGAATTGAGAACAGAGAAGTTCAACCTCCTTTTAAACCTAAAATTGTAAGTTATTGGTCAAATATAATTATCAATTCAGGATATTTTTATTTTAGCTTAGATTTGATAGGCTAGAAGGACCAGGAAACGCCAGAAATTATAAAATTTTATATATCATGCAGAAGATTTACTAGATCTATTTTTTGTAGTTTGACTTCCAATTTTGACTTCAGATTTGTATTCAACGGTAGAACTGCATTGAAAAACATATGACGCGCATCCAATACTAATTTTTTGTTGACTTGTGTAATCATTTGTTTTGCACCTTACTATATAAATATCGGAGTGTTCATTAATGCTTTGTTTTATCATTTACAGAAACATAGGAAAGATGTATCAAACTTCGACAGACAATTCACAAGTGAGAAGGTAGATTTGACGCCGACTGACAAACTCTTCATGATGAATTTGGACCAAACCGAATTTATGGGATTCTCCTATCTCAATCCAGAATTTGTGCAGCATGTCTAAGAAATTAAGGATGACCAGTGAAAACTAATTTATCAAAGAAATTCACTCGAATAATGTGGCTAGTCGGCATTTGAAACACACATTTAAGAAATAAAATTTCTTACGTGTATATGCCAAAGTACCGAATTGGAATAATCAGGTATTGCAGAAATAATATATTCTTCTAATAGTATATTTCCTGATTCTTGAAGTGTTTTCGAATATTTGGACACTGAATAATTATTTGTCAACTTGGGTAAAGAAATAACTAATCAGCAAATTGAATTAGTGAGTCGATAATTGATATATTCTTATTTAGGTTCCAAATGGATTTCTAATAATTTTGTCAAATACTTTTAGATAACTAACTAGGCTAATTGTTATAAATAATTATTTAAACTGTTAAACTAGTATTTAACTTTAATTAGTATTGCCTTCTATTGATTTTCTTAAATCATAAAAATCTATTAACTTATTTATTTATTTGATTAGACTTAAAATTTTATTCCTAAAATAGCATCTTTAAGAAATAATTATCTACGAAGTTACCATTTTTAGGTATTTGCTTTTGGTTGATTATAAACTAAAGGATTTCTTCTTTTTTATGCCTCAATCATATATTATTTTGGATAGAAACAAACAACCAATTCATATTAAAAAACAGCAATTATTTTATGTAACCATATTATAAAATTTCGAAGTTCTTTAGGATGAAACTGTCGTATGATTCGGGTAAATTATATTTAAAATTCATCTTATCTCTTATTTATAAAAGTTGATACATGTTATTTATTTAAATCATGAATAGCAAATAAACTTGAAGGGTCGTTTACGCAATATATTAATACTATTTTATATCTAACAAAAATATCTCGATATCATAGTTTGTTAGATCTATCTTATCTTAAATCGATTATATAAACATTGACATTCGATTTAATAATATATATCAATAATTAAATGCTAATAAGTACCTTTATGAAATCCAAATGAGTTATTATTATTTGGAACTGTTTAAAATATTAATATATTTTATAGTTATTTTAAAATAACATCTGTTACGTTGCGTTTATTGTTGTTTTTATTATTGTTAATTAATTTTATACACGTTATAATCTTTTTCTTAAGGCGTGATGAATAATTTAAAGAAAATATTTTTCAAGTTAGCTAATAAAAACCTTAAGGAATTGATATAAAAATGTGCCAAAACCAAGTTTTGAATTACATTTTTAAAATTGCGCACTACTTATGTAATTTGGAGTTTAAAGTAGTTTTTTCAAAATGTTGCTTTTATGATGCATGATTATATGTATTACTGCCAGTGTTTGCCAAATATTTATCGCAAAAACCATATTAGGGAAAATATTCAATTAATTTTTCCTTGGCGCGACGCGTGTAGAATAACTAAATCTTGAGTGTCACCTATAGGTGACATCTGCTCGAAGACCGGTATGTAGGAGTGTCGCCTTTAGTCAGCTTTCTGATTATGAGTTAAATTATTGAGAATAAACACTGATTTGTTTGTATATTATGTATTAGTTGCAGTTCTTATTACAATCACTGATTTGTCACTAAATAATAGTTTGAGATATATTTATTGATTATTTATTACATTTGTTGTTTTGCGGACTTTAGTTTTAGAAGTGAACAATTTTTACCAGGGGTAAAATCTCAATGCCATGAAGATTGTCGCCTTCATGGCCAATACAATAAAATAAAAGTAAGCCCGACCAAAATTACTGTACGTTTCATTCTTACATACATATTTTGCATAAAAATCCAGTTTTTATTTTGAGTTGAAATTATGCCCCGATTTTTATCCCACTTCCAAAGTCAAAATTAAATCTTTGGCTACGAGAGTGTTTTCTGCAGCGGTGACGCTGCTGTACAGAACAGCAAGCCGCCTAATATACTTTAAGATTTTTCAATCAATATCAATGAAAATGTATTTATAATGTTCCAAATTTCACTAACAGAAAATTACAATAAAAAAATTCGAATTCTTAATAATTTAACTCATAGTGTTAAACCTTGAAGCCAAAAAAAGACACTGTCGTCTAAAAGAGACACTCGTGCACATATGCCGTCAAGTGGATGTCGAATATAGACGACGTAGCGAAGACGTTAAAAATACTTTATTTTAATAATTTTTAGTTGAAAAATTTAATTTCTTCCACCAACGAGTAGATGTCGCCTATAGACGACGCTTGAAACTAAAGGGTTAAAAAAAGTTCATTTTATAGTAATTGGTCAAAAAATCTAATTTCTACCGACAAGTGGATGTCGCCTGTAGACGACGTTTGTAGCGAAAGTGTTAAAAATGGTTTATTTTAATAGTAATCGGTAAAAAAATCTCATTTGTACGTGCAAGTGGATGTCGCCTATAGATGACGCCTGAAGCGAAAGGGTCAACAATAGTTTATTTTAATAATTGGTCGAAAAATCTAAATACTACTCACAAGTCGATGTCACCTATAGACAACGCTTAAAGCTAAAGGGTTAAAATAGTTTATTTCAATAGTAATTTGTCTAAAAATCTAACTTTTACTATTGAGACCGTCACATTTTTCTGTTAATTGCGTTTATATTTTCTAAATGTGTTTTTTGAGCACAATAAGTTGAAGTATACATTATTTAATCTAGCGGTTTCCAAACTGTGGGTCGCGTACCCTCAGGGAGCCAGTCTGTTGGAAGGGGGGGGGCGTACAGCTGTTTCCAAAATACTATTTTTGAAATAATATAAAAAAAAAATGTTTATGCTTCTTTTACATAATATTTCATATTAATTTGTAGTCTGGTAATATCAGTGGAGTATTTATGAAATAAAATTGTAAAAAAAATTAAGGCAATAGTTTTTTATCAGAGCGGGGAGGGCACCGCGCGTAAAGGTTGGAAACCACTGATTTAGCCACTAAATTAATGGACTACTCTACATAAATTGAATTTAAATCTTGTCCTCCGGTGGAAATGTAGTCTTTTTCATTTTATATAATATAAACTTATTATTTTTTTTATAAATATAATTGTTATTATTATCCTACTACGTTATTTGTGGCGCTTGTGAAGGAAAATATCACTTCCTATGTGGACCAGAACAAGTTAATTCAACGATAAACTTAGTTTAAAAAATGTAAATGATAGTCATGATATAAATTTATAAGGTCATAATAAAAGGACCAAATTTATATTTCATCGCCATATAATTCCAATTGGACGAATAACTCTACTATTTTGGCATACACTGTGCTCCACCAACTTTTAGCAACCAAAAATACCATAAATTTAAACGTACGTTAAGGCATATATTATTTAACCAAATATTAATATTCAATGTAATTTTAAATATTAATGGCGTAACATTTCTAATACTTTTTCCTTTAACACCAAATTCGATTTTTTCGAATAGTTAAAATGCTAAAAATTAAAACTTATACATTACAATACTTATATCATTCTAATTTTGTTGCAAAATATTGGCATCAATAGATCGATCAAATTGATGTAAGATATAAATTGTTTTATATATTTGGAACACAAAATCAAGATTTGATCGATCGATTTATCTAAAATCAATTTCTTACAACTGTCAATATTTTGCTTTAATAAACATAATTATTTTACATAATTTTTATATTGATAGGCAATCTTTGTGCGAAAAAATATATGTGCAAATAAATTTTATAGCATCAGTCTGTGCATAAAACAACACGAATTTATAAAATTTATATAAATCATAAAAATGCTCTTCACTGTCACCAATTTTTTTAAGACTTTTATTATTCATTGCTAATTGTAAAAGATTTATAGTAAGTCTAAAATAATACTCGAATAAAACAGTAAGACTTATTTTATTGTAATTTATTTTTGTAAGATGATCTGATATTAAATAGTAACTAATTATTCAATGTATTGACATAACAGTTATTTTATTCGAGACTTGGCTCTTAAGTTATGAATTTCATATGACTTACAATATTTTAGAATGAAGTCAACTAAAATTTCTAAAGTTTAAAGACGATATAAATGTTTTTAATATATTATAAACATATATATTTTTATGGTTTATAGAATATTTTAAATTATAAGTATATTTAATCAATTCAATTGGCTTTATTCTAAAATATGTGTCGCAAAAAAATATGAAATTCATAATTATTTTTTTATATAATTTAAACTTAATGGCCAATTTTCGGATAAAATAATTGCTATGATATGGGTTCTTTTGTTGAATAATCGCATGAGTCGGTAGTCAATAACGGTGAAAAAACTATGCGCTATATTAACTTCTAAACGTAACCTCCAAATGGCACCAATGTCAGATAACAATGTTATCATAAGTGCAACAATTTGTTGTCACTTCCGATAACACATGCATGAAGTCTAACTAATATTATTTTCTGACATAACTATTTTTTTTAAGAGAATTGGCCCCTTGTTGCGGTAAACAATACTTTATCAGCATTATAATACTATTTTTTAAAAGTTGCAAATTGTTACTAAATGCTAAATGTCCATATGAGAATTTGTAAAAAGTATTTTTTTATTGAAAAAGACTATATGTGATCTTATTGAATGAATTCTTTATCGATAAAAAAATGAGGTGCTTCAAGTTTTTATACCACTCGATCAGTTAAAAACATTCAAATGCTTCAGAACTAATATTTTTTGGAATCGCGATATCCAAGAAATATTGGATAATAAAGAACAACAACTATAATATAAATTTAGGGGAAATGTGGACAAAATGACGCTGCTATTTAGAAATTGGTTAGTTTTAGTAACGTTTCCGCGATTGTATACCACGAAGAAATCCATAATAACAATCGTGTCAGATGTTGAGCGTCATTGTCACATTCTTCTCGGAGTGCTCAGTTCAAACGTGTATCACGCCTTTAAAAGTTTATTTTAAAAGTTGTGCTGTCATGGTTTTTGGCACCTATTTATTGATATTTGTAATTATTTCTACTAAAATCAATGAACATATGCCAGTACTAGTGACTTCTCTCAACTTTATTGTAATTATCAGGTGTCCAATGGAGAAAATTGAAACTTTCCAAAGTTGATGGGTTTTTAACTTTTACTTTAACTACTTCTGAAAATAGACCAAAAAATCCACTGATAACAAGAACAGA